ACCAGTGCAGTCTGTTCCAGACCAAAAAATGCTGCAAGTCTCATTTTGTCCGGTCTGGAATGCACTGGAACTGTGGGCAGGTTCACACCATTTTTCCAGATCTGGTCCAGAAAATGGTGTAAATCTGCCCTAAAAGCTACTGATTTGGGAGACCTTTTAACTGGTGGGTGAAGTTTGAACACAACGCATGGTGTGATGGGGCTTTAAAATGGCCAGGAGATGTTTATGATGCATGAGAAAAAGTAATGGCTTTTGGCTTTTTTTTTGATCTTGGGATTATTTCCTTATCTTATCTCCAGCTTTTTCCTCGGCTCATATTCTGGTTCAGAGTCTATGATGCAGCTCCTCGGAATGTGGAAGAAAGAGCATTTTAGCTGTGTGCAGGGAAAACACTGTCTTTGGGGGCACAGCCTGTAATTTGTGTTTTGCCTCCCATCTGTGGAAGATGTTTCTGTAATTAGCGTTGTCTCTGTTGCTGATACTATTTGTGACTTTGCTTGTAAAGTCATCACATAATGTTCTGTGATATACCGGTAAGGTCACAGTCTTTGAGGAACTTTGCTGGTGCTTTACCCCGGGACAGGTAACTGACCTGTATATACACTGAATACCTATAGAAAGCAGAACAAAAGAGGTGGCCCTTAGCAGCATGTCAGAATAAATAGTGGTAGCTTGGCATAGCAGGGGGGCCCCCCCTCCCATTCTGACGGGTACTTGCTCCATTCCCCCCCATTCACTTCACTGTGAGAGCTTGCTCACTCTGGTGTGGTAGCCTTCCATTCCCCCCCTACTTTCTCTGGTGTAGGTGCCCCCCCCTGCTCACTTTGGCATGGTGGCCTAGCCCTCCCCTGTTCTCCCCCCACCACTCCTTGCTCACTCTGGCATGGGAGGCTTTCACTATTCCCCTTTGCCTGCTTCACTGCGGGAACCCCCCCCAAATCTTGCTCGCTCTGGCCTTCGCTCAATGCGTTACAGCAAGGCAGGCAATGATCTCCCCAGTGGTGGATTATAGGTGGGAAAAACTGGACAAGATCTGAAGTCTTCTCGACTGCCCAGAGCAAACAGAATTTCGACTGGACATCCATATACAAACTTTTTTTGTTGCAGAGTTTTATTATGCTTACAGAGCATCTTTCACCAGAGCAAAAATCTGTTTTGTTTTTCTCGTGTGTCTCTCTTAGTGACACTAAACCCAGGAGTGAAATCCTTAAAATGCATTAACCTGAAATATTAATAAAAACATAATCTTATTTGTGTATCACTCGGCTGCAGATCCTCCAATCATCTCAATTGGTGCTTACACTGTCCTTCCTTCTGGAGGGGGGCTACCTTTGTTCCCTGTGAGTGTTGTAGTCACCGCTCCAAGCTCCCCCCCCCGGGATGGACTACAATCTCAATACAAATCGGTAAACTAAACATGAGATTGTAGTCCATCCTGGGAGTGAGCTTGGAGCGGTGACTACAACACTCACAGGGAACAAAGGTAGCCCCCCTCCAGAAGGAAGGACAGTGTAAGCACCAATTGAGATGATTGGAGGATCTGCAGCCGAGTGATACACAAATAATATACATTGTTCATAGTGACGTAAAGTGTTTTTTGTGTTTTTTTTGCCCTGTCACAATCCTGCTGTAGTGACTTCTTGATTCGATCATCTTTTTCCCTTACTGTCCTTTTAGCTGTCCCTCCAGCGCTGGTGCGGGTCTCTGATCCAGCACTGACTCCTCTGTCCTCCCCTCTGCTCCTCTGCTGTCACACGGTGTCGTGCGGGTCTCTGATCCATAGACTTACCTTGTGTCTCATCTCCCGGCCAAACATCTGAAGTGCGCTTGCACCAAGATCCTTTGTGGCTGCCCGAGACTCTTCAGATGTTTAGACGGGAGCGCGCGGCAAAGACACGGGTAATTTAAACCCTTTTTTTTTTTTTTTTGCTTGCATATTCTCCTTGCTAGCCTTGTATATATGCAAAAACCACTGAGGGTTTAATAACCCTTTTAAGGTATTGGAATGCATTTTTAAGATTTAATCTCCTGAGTTTAGTGTCCCTTTAAGGCCTGTGCACACATGCAGAGTCATGTTTTCCTGGTAATATTGGCTTCAATAAACAGATCGGGGTAATGTACGTCCTTCACCTTTTTGGTAGCAACACTGTACGCTTCATTACATCAGCAGATGTTCTACACGGACCTCTCCCATCACCCGCACCTTCTGGATAATTCCCACCAGACCGCCACCTTTTGTGAGCTGCGTCTGATAATCTCCGTGCCTCTTCCGCACGCTTGTAAATCTGATGTCACTGATCTGCCCATTAATGGGTGTATCTGCTCTAATCTCTGCCTGGCTGTTGGTGTTTGCCGTTGCCGGGGTTGTGAGGCCGACGTTCCTGCGGTTATACTGGTTTGTTTGCTTTCTCCTGTCGCGGACATGTGCTGTCAGGGTGCACTTGTATCGTCACGCTTATGCCAGCGAGGTCTGGTCTTGTTTATTTCAGGTTGAGCTTGGGGTGGGGGGTTTCCTAATGTTTGACTTTCACCGATTTTTTGATTCAGATCCGTTTTAGTTGGGAAATCATCTTCTCCAATATTGTAATGTGTAACTGCAGAATAGTCTTTGATTTGACTTGAACTTTTACTTTTGCTTTTTTTTTTTTTCTTTAATTTATCGGTTAGACTTAAACTAAAAAAAACAAAAGCTTCACCTGGGTCATTACTTGATCTTGAAGGCTGGATTAGCATCCCTGGTTGAGGACTACTAAGCCGATACCAGTGATGGTAGTTATGAGTCTTTTGGTTGGTGAGGTTCTTGTTGAGCTGGATGGGAGGAGAGGGCATAGGGGTTGGTAAATTCAACAGTTCTAATTCGTATTGGTGGAAATCACTAGTCCTAACAGCGACATCCCAATGGGTCACACCATCAGATAGTGGGGTGTCAGTCATTTTGGTGTCATGCCCCTGATCACTTGTTTGCCTGATGATGAAGGGGATCCTGTGAGACCCCAAAACATTGTACTTAGTGTTTGACTATGCAACATGTCCGTGAATAAATAGACGTACTGGATTTGCCTTGGAGTGCCAGTGTCCATTTTTCTCTAGTCACCTTCCAGGACAGCATTAGAGAGGCTCCTCCCACCGGAAACAGGAAACACATCACCCACACCTAGAATAAAGAGTCCCAGCCTAGCACACTTCAGTTATTTTTGTGTTTCCTCCGGCCGAGCGAATAAATAGACGTACTGGATTTGCCTTGGAGTGCCGGTGTCCATTTTTCTACTTGTATACTTTGACGGGAGCCACCCGTTGCACCCACCTCTTATCTGATGGAACAGCGGTTCCGAGTGCGATGTGTATATGGACTGTATTCTTCTCTTTGCCGGTGTTCTATCTAAAGTTCCAACTTATCGAGTTCTCCAACTGCCTGACTTCTGGTTTAGTTAGAACTAAGAGGTTTGACCAAGAAAGCTCTTCTGCACGAGCGTACCTCATTGCTGTGGTGTATGTGTATAGGGCAATGCCACGGCTGGCACTCTTGCAGAAGAGCTTTCTTGGTCAAACCTCTTAGTTCTAACTAAACCGGAAGTCAGGCAGTTGGAGAACTCGATAAATTGGAACTTTAGATCACCGCCACCTCGCAAAGATGGCCGCTGATGGCTAAGTGCGCGTGACATTACACGCAATGCGTAATGACATCTCAGCGGGTGACGCCTGTCCTGGGGACACCTCTGCTAACTTGACATTGATTGCTACATGTACTCGCTCAACGCCATACATGCAACTCCTTGCAGATGAGGCTTTTCATTTCCTCGTCTGCCCTCTTCCCCAGCTGCCTGTTCACGACTTGACTGTTTTGGGCTAATGTGGCTGGATAGACCTGCTTTTTATAAACCTAACCCATGATCTTGTTTGATTCCTGAGTTGTTAGTCACCCAGATTATATTCTTGGTGTTCTTGCATGATGGTGATCTGTGCATAGCTGGAGGAAATGACTTCCGCAGGTTAAATCAACAATAACATCCTTGTTAATGGAATAAAGGCTGTTGTTGCCACAGTTCAGTGTTTGTGCCGGCATGGGGGGGGTTCCCCCTTTTTCTTTATCTTTACCCTTTTCACAAGGAGGAAGTGAGGGGAATATCCATAAGCTGAGATGTCACCAGAAATGGAGTAAATATTCCAATGGCGGACACTGGTTCTGCTGACGGCTAGGGGGGAATGTTTGCTTTGTAACCATTTCCTCACACTTCCTTTTGTGGGCCTATAGGATGGGAACGAAAGAGAAATCTTCCCAGCGGGACGTATATCGCAACATGAGGGTTTAACCATTCCCATCTCTTTCCAAATTGGGGTGGAGAGTTTTGGCTTTAGATCTGCTTTGCCTTTTGCAGAGAGAAATGTGTAAAAACATGAATTGTGTTGTCCTCGCCTATTCCTTTTTTAGGTCGAACAACTCGGCATTTCTTGGTGCTGAAATAGGCCAGCCCTGATTTCTTGGTCTGTGCACATAGGATGGGAAGGAAGTCACCGATCTGTCTGGAGTCTTGGAAACTGAACTTTGCATAGAGAGCTTACTATCTATATTCAATCAGTTTACTCGAGTACTGCAACTCCAGAATGGACCGTTATACATTCTATTTTTTTTGGTAAAGCTGCAACTTTTTTTTTATCCCAAGTTGTGGTATTTGCCGGTGGATTCTCCTATTTTATTTTTTTATTTTTGAACCGCTCACCCATTGTATTGGCTGCTGAGATTCAGATGCTTGATCAATCCTAGACAGATTGGTGGTTGTCCCAGTAATAAGTGGCATAGGCTCTTTAGGAACCTGCTTGCAGATAACTGACTGGAAGTAGGTTGCATGGAAGAAGATTTCAGCTTCAACAGTCACAGGTTTTTCCCCAGATCGTTTATTGCTCTTGAAACCAGGAGAGATGGCAATCAAAGCTTTGTACTTTTTTTTTATATCGTAGGTTGTCAATTTAAATGTATTCCTTGACCATTGATTGTCTTCCAGTGAAAGGATGCCGTCCGGGGAAGAATGTTCAGTTGTCGGAGAACGAGATCAGAGGGCTGTGTCTGAAGTCTCGTGAGATCTTCCTGAGTCAACCCATCCTTCTGGAGCTGGAGGCCCCGCTGAAGATCTGTGGTGAGTGTCAGAGGTCCCCTCATCTTGTGGTTGAACGACTGCTCGTGTCTATTGCACAGGACGCATTGCTCTAACTGGGTAAATTCATTGTTTTGCATTGGTCCTCTTGTCTACATTGGGGATCCGGGTGCTAAGAAAGAGGCTCTTGGATGAGTCTTGGGGACTGAATCCACACAAATTGCATCTTGTAACATGGATGGATTCATCTCATCTGTTTCCATATGTCGTGGTGGGCAAATCCATGTGGACATTAGGAGCTGGTGGTTCTAGCCAGGGATGGTGTGCCTTCAGTGACTACTCCGGAAGGCTCACAAGTTTTCATAGTTACCTGGCTCCTAGGATTTGGCCCATCTCCCTTGTATATAATACAGGAAGTAGTGTTATACATGTTAAGTTTCCATTTGTCCCGCTGACTACAGTCACCAGAACTGAAAGTGTGAGAAATCCACAAATGTGGGTTGTCGCTACAAGAATAAAAGGAATGCATCTAGTGGGTACATTTGTGCTGGTTACCAGGTACGTAAGACTTTCACTTTGTGTACAGCACAGGAAGTGGAGTCATCTTCTCAATGGGACACTGACAACAAAGATGGGACTTCCTAACAGTTTTGATGCTTACCAGAGCCCCCCCCCTGGATTTGGCTATCTCCAGGGTCACCTGGCATTGCTGACATCTGGAGGTTGGCAATTTCATATTAATGACTTCAGGATCGCTGCGAAGGTCTGAGGCATGCTAGTAATGGCTTGCATGCCATGTATCCAATGTAAAGCTCTGTGTGTGTGTGATGGACTGTCTTCACCTTTTTTAAAAAGAATTCCGGGGGAAATTAATGACTCTTGCAGTGGTGTTACCCCTGCACTGCAAGGGTTAAGTGCTCATTTTGCTCTAGGGCTGAAAATAAATATTTACTCGTCCGATCCTCGGGGCTGGCTTGCTGTTAGACCGGTCCTTCCAGCCTCACTGGCCCCTCTGCTGCTGCAGTCGAAGGTCCCCGAGTCATCGCATCTTATACGCAGTGTATTAGATGCGAGAATGCCAAGGACCATGCCATCGCTGTAGTGGAGAGAGTGCTGTTGCAGCCGGCTGGCTCTGAGCGGGCGAGTATAACTTTTTTCTTAATCTTTCTCATAGTTGTGCTTCAAATGTGGCATAGGGATCACTGATGTGCTTCACGCATAAGTGCCAATCACATCATATGTGATCCTAATACAAATGTTCAGAATCTGTGGGTAAAGGATCCCAAAGAGTTAAAATGGTGAATGAAAAGGACATGTGATTAGCTGTAATGGATGGCTGATCTTATCGGGTCTTTTTTTTTTTTTTTAAATGGAATAGTACTTTAAATTGTGGCTGTGCGTGTGGATAGGAATTGATGTGTTATCTCTCTTCCTCCCCCAGGTGATGTACATGGACAGTATTATGATCTGTTACGATTGTTTGAGTATGGCGGCTTTCCCCCGGAGAGTAACTACCTGTTCCTGGGTGACTATGTGGACCGTGGCAAGCAGTCTCTGGAAACCATTTGCCTGTTGTTGGCATACAAGATTAAATACCCAGAAAACTTCTTCTTGCTGCGTGGAAATCATGAGTGTGCCAGCATCAACCGTATCTATGGGTTCTACGATGAATGTAAGTACAGAACACCAGTCGGGGGGCTGCCATTGTTCATGGGGGGGTCACAGCGTAAATACACCGTAAATACACCGTAAGCTGTTTAATTTTGTCTTGTGGGATGCACTGACTGACTTTCCTTTCTTTAAAGGAAACCTGAGAGAAACAGATGGCGTCATGGCTTCTTTATCTGCAATTACTAGTTACCGGCTGTCATGTCGTCTAGTTTTAATATTTTGAATTCCTAGACACTTTTGTACATGTTCTGGAACATTGACTCCCAAGTATTGAAGCAAGTTAGTTGGAAACGCAGCCAGGCAACTAGCATTTACTGTTGGGGGGAAAAGTCATGTTAAAGCTGAACTCCAGGCGAACAGCTGAATGAGCACAGATATACCTGCCAGGGGATTTGTCTATACAGTCCTGAAATGTGTACAGCCCTGTCTGGCAGAGCAGGAGACAGGATCTGTGCTGCTGTTCAATAGGAGCAGGACTCTGGCATCTGTGCCCAACAAAAAGTAGGTGGAGGGCGAAGGAGTAGTCACCGGTATTGCCCATGGTGTTTCTGATGCTTCCTCAATTATGGATTTGCCATCCTTTTGTTCTACACTCTCGTGTGGAGGCGGCTGTTGTGGTGATGCACGGATTTGCATCCCCATGTCAGTCTCCAGGAAGGAGAGCAGCAGAGACATCAATAAATCTCACCTCATATCTCCTGAGGCAGCCGTTCCTTAGATCTCACGCTGCAGATATATAGCTGAGGCCACAGGCAAGAATTGCCTAGGCACCCGCGTAAATCGGGAAGTGTTTTTATTGAAGTCCTACTGTAAGCCTGTCGGGTACTGTACATGACTTGCTTTGGAATTCAGGTTTTCTTTAACAATCGATTTGGCTCCTTGTGCTGCTTCTATCCCTAATGTGAGTTCTGCTGCCCAGGGACTGTGTGCACTTTAAGGGCTCATTCGGACAGGCATGCAAATCCATAAAATGAACCGATCCCAGAAGGGACAGGTACTGCTTGTATGTAACTGTGCAGCGGCCTGTTCTTCCCTATGGGAGGACACAATTGCACGCGGTCACGCATTCAAACCTGCACATCCGCACGGGTATGGATGCACATGATCTGTGTGCGTGTCTGGAAGAGCCCTACAATGCAATACCCTTTTGATGATTAATACAGAGCTGCATTAACTTTTTGATGTCTGCCTGGAGTTCAGCTTTAACCCCTTCGTGACGGGAGACGTACACTGTACGTCCTGCCACAAAGGGACCAAATGACTCGTCACGTACACTGTATACGTATAGAGGCATTCATTAATGAAAGGGTTAACCTTTTTCAGACACCCGATACCTTAATATCTCTCTCAGATTGTTGGAACGTTCACAAAAACCTTTAGCGACAGCTGAATCCTGAACTGCTGCAGGATCAGTGTCACTAACTTATTATCGGCTGTTCTGACGTTTGCAACAGCCTGATGATAACCAAAAATGTATTAATTTATCAAGCAGTAATTCACAATGACTGCTTGATATAATTAAATAAAAGAGAAATTTTAAAAGTTTTAAAAAAAATAGTAAAGTGTAAAAAAATAAAGGAATGTATTGCTTTTTTTTTTTTTTTTTTTTTTTTTTTTAGCTGTGCTGGTTTTGTAAAAAATACTACAAATCAAAACTGGGAAAAGTGTTAACGTTTTTCCTTTTTAAAAAAAAAAATTAATTTGTCCTAAGTGAGGCGTTAGGGCTACATATTTATCTCACGTGTGTCTATCTGTCCTCTAAAAAACAATATATAATGTGTGGGTGCACTTTGTAAGAAAGTATATTACTGACGTGGAAGAATCACACAGCAAAAATGTCAAGTGTGTCAGTCACTTACAAACAAACTAAAAACAAGCTCAGTCATGAAGGGGTTAAAAGAATATTTGATTCTTGTACTATGAAGATCAGTGGATTGGCTCAGACTTAATGCATTTAGCTCCTGACTTCCAGAATGACTCCCATTTATGTGTTCTTTTCTACTTGCAGGTAAAAGACGGTACAACATCAAGTTGTGGAAGACGTTCACAGATTGTTTTAACTGCTTACCTGTTGCTGCCATCGTAGACGAGAAGATCTTCTGCTGTCATGGAGGTGAGTTACATGCCGCTCATGGAATGCAGCTCTGAGCGGCCTTTTGAGTGAACACAATAGTTTTCCCAGTGTGGGGGAGGGGGAGAATCCAGGATGTTTACCAGCCAGTGCACACCACGGGGTATGTCTCTGCTTCTTGGATCACATTAGAAATACATTTTATCATTTTTAGCAATTATAAGACCTGCTGAACAAAGACTTGTGATGGTCATTTTAAAAAGCAAATTAAAAATATTGTTTTTAGGAACGAAGGCTTGACTTGATATTCTAATATTGGTGTATTAGTATTGTATGATACTGGAGCATTTCATATGCCAGTCTGTATTTCATATTACTATTACAAAAATCACTACTATATCTATTCTGGGTACTGTAGAGCAGGGGTAGGTAAACTCCGGCCCTTTGCCTGTCGTGAACTATAAATCCAACTATAAATCCAATCATGCATCTGCCTGTGGGAGTCTTGTCTGTGGCTGTCCAGGTTTGCAATGCCTCATAGGATTTGTAGTTGCACCACAGCTAAAGGGCCAGCGTCTGCCTACCCCTGCTGTGCTTGGCCAGATTGCTGGGGACACTGGAAATCTTCAGCTGCCTCTGTGCTTAGCTTTTAGTGTGTATCTGCACCTTTTTTTTTAAATAAACTCTGGCTAGTTTTTTTTATTAACCCCTTCAGTGTGGCTACCCCTGCTCTTCAAGGGTTAACTGCTCGTTTTGGTCTTGGGCTGAAAATAAGTCATACTAACTTGCTCCTTGGAGCTGGCTTGCTCTTAAACCAGTCCCTAGATCCCCTCTTCCCCCTCCGCTGCAGTTGTCTAAGGTCCAGTAAACCACCTCCTATAGACCAGGGGTAGCCAATTCTGGTCCTCCAGCTCTGCTATGGTGGAACTACAAATCCCATGAGGCATTGCAAGATTCCCACAGCCATGACTCCTGGCAAGAGATGCATCATGGGATTTGTAGTTTCACCATAGCTGGAGGGCCAGAGTTTAGCTACCCCTGCTATAGACTGTGTATTGGACGCTGAGGGGCTTTCTATTGCTGCAGTGCAGCAGGAGGGAGCGCTGTCCCAGCCACTAGCTGGGAGGTTAGGGTGCGAATTGCTTTATTTTCAGCCGTAGACCAAAATGAGCAATTAACCCTTGCAGTACGTGTAGACCCCCCTGCAAGGGTTAATAAAGATTGCCCAGTGTTTTTTAAGGAGGAATTGGTAACCTGCCTTTTAATCTATGTATTGCTGTGCATGTCCCAGAATGGAAGCTCTGTGAGATTGGGGCCCGCATTATACAGAGGGGCCCTCACGAGGCAGTGTGGCTTCCACATTTGCTGCACATACATGCTACGAACACCTCTGCTTTTTAATACACAGAGTGGGGAATTTATCAAAACTGGAGCAGTCGTTTATTGCAACCAATCGGCTTCTGTCCACCTTTTGGTTAAGCTTTTAAAAGTGAAAGACATTGCCAGGGGCTACTGCTCCAGATTGGGGTTTATATCCCTCCCCACTCCAAAACTAAAGAGCTTTTGGCTCTGGTTGGGGATAATAGTCCTGTTATTTCTTGTTGCACATAGCTAGGCATGACACATCAGGCGCGTATCCCTAAGGCTCTTGGCTGTCTGCATTCACCTCCGTTCAGTTACCAAGAACGCTATGAATTGCCTCTGGCATACATCTAGAAACGTTCCCATCGTGTATTGCAGTTCTGTCCATATTCAAAGGTTACGTCTGCGCACAGGGAAATGACTAACTGGTGACTCTGCTGGACCTGAAATCCTCATTGCTTACACATACAGCGGCGTGCTTGCAGAATTGTGTACGCTGTATAGTATACAGATCTGGTTTGTGGCCTGCAAGTCTTCAGTCCTAAACTCCATATAAACCCAATCGGTAAAATGTTATGCCATCTTGGTGTGCTCTGCTAGCTGTAGGTTGTACAAACCTCCCCATTGTGTTTTTAAAGCATCTGTAAACCTTGAGCTGCCATTCAGCAATAACCAGAACACCTCCTTTTTAAACCTGTACCTGATTACCAAAAAGTATGCAAGTAGAAGCAGCAACGCAATCAGGGAGCAGAGATTAATGAACAAATCAAAGCCGCACAGTGTCCTAGACCAGTGGTGGCGAACCTATGGCACGCGAGCCCAGGTTCAGGGACCACCAATGGAAATGGATCCGATCGACGCGGATCGCCTCAGTACGCGATCCGGGCCAGTCACAATCAGGCGGCGGCCTCTAAACAGGCAGATTAGACTTTCGCTTCCTCCTCGCTAGGCCCCCGAGTGGCTGTCTAATCTGCCCGTTTAGAGTTCACCGCTGCCTGATTGTGACCGCCCCTCCTACAGAGGCGATCGGGGACGTTCGGACCCCCGGGAGAGCCGCACAACCTTCATCCCCCCCCCCCGCCCCCTGTTGAGAGCAAAACTGTTGTAGTAACAGCAATTCAGGCGTCAGTCAGCAAGAGTGGGCCAGAGGTGTGACTGCTTGTGATACCGTGTGCTATGCCGCTAGATTCAGTCGAGAGTTTACATCGGCCGGAAATGCTACCACAAGAAGCGCCTAGTAGGTAGAAGTTGGTAGTTGTGGTTTTACTACAGCTGGGGTGCTAAGGTTGTCCACCCCTGACATAGGTTTACACTTTATTTTTTGGGGGGTCTCACCCCCTCCCCCTCTACATAAAATCTGATTGCACATGTGTTCCCTCCCCAGGCCTCTCCCCTGATCTTCAGTCAATGGAACAAGTCCGGAGGATACTGCGTCCCACAGATGTACCAGACCAGGGTCTCCTGTGTGACCTCTTGTGGTCCGATCCTGACAAGGATGTGCTCGGCTGGGGAGAAAACGACAGGGGGGTCTCTTTCACTTTTGGGGCTGATGTCGTAGCAAAATTCCTTCACAAGCACGACCTGGATCTCATATGCCGAGCGCATCAGGTGAGAAAAATCCTGATGTACAAATAGTAATGATGCTCCGAGCAGCTTTAGATTTGATGATCAGAGGTTCTGCACCCAATTACTGCGGTGAATTCGACAACGCTGGCTCCATGATGAGCGTGGATGAAACTCTAATGTGCTCTTTCCAGGTCAGTCCATATGAGCTTGAGTTCACTGGTAGTTGGCAAAGCTGCTCCTCTCATAGGTCAATGTCCATGCAGAAACACAAGTGAGAGCGTGCTGCATGTGTCTGTCTACACAAGCCCACACGCTTGCCCTATGTAAACGGTTCCTTTTGGTTTAAACCCCTTTACCCCCCCCTTCTCAAAAAATCACAACTGCATGCTGATATAAAATCGTAGTGCATCATTAGTTAAACATGTATTTAATTTACTAGTTAATCTACTTCCTGGTTCACTTTGGCACAATGATGTAATTGTGCCAAAGTGTTGCATCCAGGGAAGGTTACATCAGCCGAGCATTGCTGGAAGTCTCATCTGTAATTTCATGAGATCTCGGAAGGTATTTTCCTCCCCTGAGATGATGTGCATGGTCACATGTCCTAGTCACATGTGCCAGAGTTCCAGGAAGTAAAGATCTAGTAACCTGCCCTTAGCAAAAATGGAGAAGAGAAGAGAAATCAGGAATGTAAAGAATAAAAAAAAAGCTGGCAATCTAATCTCTAGATTGTCATCATTGAACATTTCTAAATGAGCCTTTGTGATTTTTAACGATATGGGTAAAGTTCCTTTTTTTTAAAATGGCTTTTCACTTACTGACTTGCACATGTCCTCCTGCAGCTTTTATAAATGACATTTTTGCTCCTCTCCCTTTGTCTTTCTATGACCCTTTCCTGGTGTAGATGGGACCTCTTAAAGGAGCCGAAAGGATAAGTGCACTTTGTTTTAAAGGGCACATACCCTCCGTTTTTTTTTTGTTTTTTTTCCCCCCTTCAGGTTCCCCAGGACTTTTGCTATAATGTGCAAGCATGCTCGGCACAGCCCGTCAGTGATGCATCCACCTGGCTGCAGCTTACTGCTGGGAATGAGTTATATTACTGATAGTTGTGTGGGCTTGGGTGAACTCAAGCCCACACATGCCTAATGTTTAAATACAGATGGCAGACAGGATTGGGTTAATCTGCATGCCCAAAATAAGCTTGATAGAATTCAAATATACAGATATATAATTTTTGGTCATTTTTGCTTTCCATTAGTAACCTGTTTTTTCTCTTTTTAGATTCTAAAGCCTGCTGACAAGAAACTGTTTGCCTACGGAGGTGTGA